AAGAACGAAAGCGCGGAGAACCCGAGAACCGGAGAGAACCATGGCCCCTATATACCCTGTAGAACCGAATGTGTGTGGAGCTGACTCGTCACAGATTGGGTTCTAGGGGAGTCTATGGGTCATGACTGAACTTCCAGCCGACTCCAGTGAGAAGATTTGAAAAAATATGAGTTCGTTTATGCGTTTGAAGGTCCCATTTTACACACGTTTGACTCTTGTTGAATGTTGTTAAATCTGTGTATCATTCGTTCATTTGTTCTTTAAAATAAAACCCAAAATAAGAAATTGAAAAAAAACAACTATTTTCTTCATTATTTGTCTCCAAAACCAAAGTGAAAAAACAGATAATGATTAATTTTTTCAGTTTTCGATTTTGTGTTTAAATGAATAATGGAAAAAAAACGGATAAACTGCGATGCCGGACTTTTGCGTCGCATACAGACTGAACCAGGACTGAGAACGGGACCAGACCAGGACCAGACTGGGATGGAGACCTGGACTGAGATTGGGACCAGACCGGGACTGACACTGGGATCTGGTTTAGTCCTGATTCAGTTCTAGTTTAGACCTGGTTTAGTCCTGGTTTAGTCCTGGGATCAGTCCTGGTTCAGTCCTAGTCCTGGTTCCAGGCTGGTCCCAGTCTCAGTCCCGGTCTCAGTCCGGGTCTCAGTCCAGGTCTCAGTCCTGGTCTCATTCCTAGCCTGGTCCCGGTCTAGTTTGGTCTCATTCCTGATCAGTTTACACGGCACACCTCTGGGCCAGTCCCGACACTCCTGGATCAGTCTTGGTTCAGTCCTGTTTTAGTCCTGGTTCAGTCCTGGTTCACTCCTGGTCCAGTGCTGTTTTAGTCTTGGTTCAGTCCTGGTTCAGTCCTGTTTTATTCCTGGTTCAGTCCTGTTTTAGTCCTGGTTCAGTCCTGTTTTAGTCCTGGTTCAGTCCTGGTTTAGTCCTGGTTCAGTCCTGTTTTAGTCCTGGTTTAGTCCTGTTTTAGTCCTGGTTCAGTCCTGGTTTAGTCCTGGTTCAGTCCTGTTTTAGTCCTGGTTCAGTCCTGATTCAGTCCAGCATCTCAGTTTAAGTCATGGAAAATGGGAAACGGTCATTATTCGTTTTTTCCATTATTAATTTTAAACACAAAATCGAAAACTGAAAAATCGTTATCCATTTTTTTCATTTTGCCTTTGGAGACAAATAATGAAAATAATAATTGTTTTGTAATTTTCTTATTTTTGGTTTTATTTTCAAAAAGGAATGAACAAATGATACATGGATTTCGTTACCTTGGAGTTGTGTTTTGTTCCGTTCACACATGTTTGAGTAATCCTGCGTTATTAGTCTGACTGCATCTCCAACGCTCAAACTGTTCCATCTCGTGGTAGTTGAAGTGGTAGTTTTCGAGTTAATAGCCACCATTTACCTCTTGGTTAGTAGAGATGGAAAATTCCTTGGCTGAAATTGTCCAGATGATTCGAGTCAAAGTGGATGAGGTTTTAAAACACTGCGAGACACGTTTTGTATTACCACGTGACATCACAAGGTGTTTTCAGTTCAGTTCAGAGAAAAGAATTCAGCCTAAATATACAGGGTTTGTGTGTTAAACTTGTGTGAATTAAACAAAACACAACTCTGAGTATGTTTGCGATGGGGGAAACTACATCAGAAAATGACGTATGGGTCCTTTAAGCGAAAGTTAGAACACCCAAGCACCCATTTGGAACATTGGGTTTCCAGGTATAATTTTGGCTCTTGATTTGAAGGATTTGGCACAGCAACGGTCCTCTGTTGTCATAGCAATAATGCAATTAAAGCCAAAATATTATCTTTCTGAATTGAGGAAGTTCTTCACAAAATTCTTCAAGTCACTAAGAAATCAGCCGCCTGACAACGGTTGAAGGATTTGGCACGACAACGGTCCTTTGTTGTCATAATAATAACGCAATTAGAATCCAAATTTTTTATCTTTTGAATCGAGAAAGGTCTTCAAAAATTTCTTCAAGTCACAAAGAAATCAGCTGCCTAACAACGGTTAAAGGTTTTGGCACGGGAACGGTCATTTGTTGCAATAACGCGATTAGAATCCAAATATTACATCTTTAGATTTAGATTAGAATGGTCTTCGCAAAATTCTTCAAATCACGAAGGAATCATTTGCCTGAAACCTAATCGATCCTTTAAAAAAACTGTCATCACAATGTTCAAAATTACGAAATGGAGACAACTGAAGGCATTTATATCCGATAAAAGTTCTCTAACAGTCTTTATAACACAAACAAAACAAAATAAGCAGTCCTATGCAGTGTAGAAATGTTAGTTAGTTTGCTTTTATTTCAAAAATTCTATCTCCAAAATTTTAACTTCACGAAAAATATCATTTTTGGTAAAGAATGTTATATATCTGTACATAAAATTAAAGCAACGTTGTAGTATTTTTCCAGTAAGTCTTGATCTAAAATACCAAGAGTCCATCGTACTCTCCTCTCTTATATTGGAGCAGTTTAATTCGGCCAAACCACCATGACTTTTCACATTTGATGACACTCTGAGGCTCATCCAGGTTTGTCCATTGAAATCACATCACGTCACGCTTCACTTTTGCCTTTAGCTGCCTCCTTTTTGACATTTTGATAATATATATGCTTCTTTACAGTCTTTTAAAGGGTCTATAAAAGTTGACCTTACGCTGAATTTGGCTGCATTTACACTAGTCTCAAATCTGGCTCTGACTCACTTTGGTCAGATTTGATCATGTCAGTGTAAACAGGCCAAGTTCACAATTCTGCAATGTTTTAACAAATTGTATTAACCAAGTTCCAAGTTCCCATGTACTAATGTAAATAATGGTGACTGTGTAGTAGTAGTAGTATTAGATTTGGTTTAAACGTTGCTCAAGATAATTCGATTGATATAAATGCTGTTTATTAAAGATCAAGTTTGCATTTTTGTGTGTCTAAAATTGCTGATCAGATATTAAAAAGTAAAACCTGTATGTACTATTCAAATTATGGTTATCTAAACTAGTTCTTGAGTCGTCCAGGAATACGATTTTATCACCAAACTGACTCTACTTAGTAAAGAAACGTAGGATGCAAAAGTTGAGTAAGTTCAGTTGTTTTGATCCAATTTCGTGATAATTTGAAATGACACAATACACTATTCCCCACACATTTATTTAACAAGTTGTGCCTTTCTGTGCCCTGTACCCTCTCTGAAAAATGTGGAGAACTAACGTTAGGGGAACAAAAGTAGCCCGTATGTCAGATGTTGTTTTAAATGGCTTTTGTACTATTCTGAAGTGAGACAATTTGCAGTATCAGCGTTTTTCACCCCTTTGTGAAACCCGATTACATCGCGTATCAAACAAGTCCATTTAGTCCGGTCAGTGAGTCCTGCCAAGACTTCGATGAAGTCGTCTCTACTAAAAAGCTAATATTACACGAGTGGACTGTAGTTTGGCCCGAGCCTCGGACCGGAGCATCTTTAGGCGCAGCTGCTGCCAAAAAGTGATCCTCGTGAAATCCCGGAGCCGCTCCTGGATTTATAGCCCTCCACTGGCGCACAGATTATTCTCATCACCAGTCATTTATCTTTGCGCAGAGAGGGGATGCGTTGTGCCACATGCGTAAAGGGCCGGGGAATCCTATTACGCATCTCTATTCTGTTCGTGTGGGGGCCTGCTTTAACTTAACCCTATTGATTAAGCTTCTATCGCATTATTTCTCTTCATTTCTCTAACGTCTTGGCACGTCGCTCTACGCTTCAGTGTCATTTTTTACGCAGAGCGGAGCATTTGGCTGTATGAAGGCGGGGTTATCAGTGGTGAGAGGGACACCTCGGGCTGACCTTTGCCAAACAAAGCCGTATACTACTCACTGTCTGCGACTCTTTATGCGCTTTCTTTAACTGCATGGCATCTTTTTGTTGAGCGTCTTTTGACCGGCCACAAGGCCAAATATGGCCTGCGTCCCTCAATATGGCCCAGATTAATTTTTCAGGTCGGGCATCTGGGCGGGGGGTTCAACTCAGGCCGCTAAAAGTCATAAATTACAGTCGTCCGCGCGCTTCTTCAATAGGTGCTGTTCGGAGTGGGGGATGCGCGGATAGACAGATTTATAGAGGGACTTGAGTTATGTCTTAGATAAACAATGGGCAGATTTCTGTCTATTCGTTTGGCTTAAGTGCGTCAGAAACGTGGAGACATTGGTCAGTAAAAAGATACTGTGCATTTGTGGGTCTAAAGATGTCACAAAAACCACAATGGTAAACAATGGGACTATATTTACGACGAGGGCAACTGAATTACTGAATTGAATTCTATCTTGGTCCGCGTGCGTAAAAACATTACCTGGCAACACTGGGCCGTCACACAGCTCTTTGTAGGAAATTGGCTGTATATTTTAATTACAGAATAGAAAAGAGAAATCGTGATCTCTTTGAGTAATAGTTTTTATTTTTCTAATATGCACGTGCGTAAAAACGCGCCAGAGCGCATTATCCCAGATGAATGTTATATTTATTTGATGTGGCGCAGTTATTACGCACATGCGTGCTCTTACTGTACTTGTGTAGACTTCATTAATGTTGTTTATTTGTGCAGAATTGATCTTGTTTTGGAGATACATATTTTTAGACTGAACTGGAACAGATTTACGCACGATAGCCAATCACTTTGCACTTTTTATTGTGGAGAAAAGTGGCCTGGCACATTAGTCTTACATGAGTATTTATGGTTTGAGTTGTCCTTTTAAAAGTCCATTAAAGCGCCTGTTTTGTGCGCACGGATCTGATGAGCCCTTCTAAGGAGCACATCTTCATTAGCTTCATATAATGAACATTTTTTCCCTCAAATTATCCCATTACATGTGACATAAACAAGGCGAAATGCCGCCTGTGATTGGCCAGCCTCGGGGTCACGTGCCCCGCATGGCCGTCCGTCTATTTGACAGCCGCAGGATGGCTTGATGCCAGAGGGGGGAAAAGAGACAGAGAGAGGGGAGAGAAAGAAAAATTAGTATTCTCGTGCTAGCCTCGCTATAAATCAATCATGGAGTCGTACGTGGTGAGCTGTAAATACGCTGAGCCGCAGTTCCCGCCTTGTGAAGAAGATTACAGTAATTTTAGTGACCAAGGGGGGTATTACAACAACCCTCCGGACAGTGGTAGTTATGGAGGGGGCTATCAGTCCAGCGTGCACCCCCCTCCGCCTCCGTACACACCACAACAAGCCGCCTATGTCCACTCTGTGCAGGGCCCGCTCCGGGAGGACCATGGCAAGGAGCAGCATCCAAGTGGCCACTTCCCCGGATTCACGGAGCAAGAACGAGCGGCTAAGGATGACTACCTGCAATGTCAGGCCTGGATGACGTGCGCAAAGCCCGTTCAGGTGCAGAGAAAGACGGGATGCCAGGTTAAAGACAAGCCGCCTATTGTGGTGTATCCCTGGATGAAGAAGGTGCATGTGGCGCACGGTAAGAGCTCGGGCTACTCTAAACATATAGGCCTGTGTGTTTCATCTCTACTTAACGGCGCATTTGCATTTCTATTTGGGGCTGGAATTATTTATGATCTTAGTGAAAGTCAGGGAGAATTATGGGCCCATAAACTTTTATGGCTCTGACCAAACGTGCGTGCGTATGTGTGTGTGCTTGTGTATGTGCGTGCGTGCTACAAAAGTTGGAGGTGTTGCGGTGCTGCAGCTTAAAAAGTTCACATGGTTTGTTGAACGTAGCAGCGTACAGAGTTAGAGCACCTCGGGGCAATAATTATCCTCCATACTAATAGACAGAAAAAGCCATTCACTCTTAATGAATTGGTAATGATGATGTCCACTAAACTGAAGTCCAGCCTCATTTTCTATCTCCATCTCTATGCAGTGAACCCAAACCATGTGGGTCCAGAACCCAAACGTTTACGCACGGCCTACACGCGCCAGCAGGTCCTCGAGCTGGAGAAAGAGTTCCACTTCAGCCGGTACCTCACGCGCCGCAGACGGGTGGAGGTGGCCCACGCGCTCTGCCTGTCCGAGCGACAGGTCAAGGTTTGGTTCCAGAACCGACGCATGCGCTGGAAGAAGGACAACAAGCTGCCCAACACCAAAGGACGCAAGAAGAAGGCGGCAGCGGAGAGCAGCGGAGGAGTAGAGCGGGAGAAGGCCGCCATCACGGTCTGAGGCTGGGCACGGGAGCAGAGTTTGGCCCGGGACAGCGCCGATAGAACTGTGGTGATCCACGGTGCTGCACAGGAGAGGCAGACTATAGGCTTTTGAAAATTGTAACTTTTACTTTGTCTTTTACATTTACGTGTCATATCTATATTTAGCCTTGAAGTTGCATCAGATAATTTTTCTATTTGATTTCATGATGAATGTCTTCCATTTAGCGCTGCAGGTCACGTGACACGACAGGTCAAAATTAAAAGAGGTTGACCATATCTCCCTTTGAAAAGTAGAGTAGAAGCCTTTAATTGTAAGGACGCACAAACACATTCTTTTATCAGCGGGTTTATGAGGGTACATCTTTTTCGTTGGAGGTCTGGAAATATGGTCAACCTAAGTTAATATTTACGCAAAGGCCAAAAGCAAAGTCGCCAAACTCCCATCTGACACGAGGAGAATGAGGGTGGAATTTTGGACAAAACAGGGTTTGATTTCTACAGGGTAAACACATACAGGGTTTTCTATGAGCTACCTACACCGGGGTAATTTATGAACACGAAAAGAATGTTGTTCCCACAAACTGGCGCTAAGGAAAACACAACCAAACGACCCGAGACTGCGCCAAATGCTGCGCCTGCACTGTACAAAGACTATTTATGTTACATACGCGGTACTGAGCAGGACGTGTAGCCATATTTCTCACGCAACATCACGTTTTCAACTATTCTTTTGGGATTGTTTTTACGCACGAGATACAAAGAACAATAAATTATTTAAGTGGCTAGATTTGGCACAGATATTTTTCCCATCATTCCGTTCTCAGGGTTTACATGGTTTTTATACATAAACATCTATTCCTGGAGCTGTTTACGGAGCAACGAGAGCTTTAAAATTCTCTCAAAAATGGCACCATTTAGCTTTGCATTCCAGTTTAATATGCTATTGTGTTATTAGCCAGTACTTATTTTATGTGTATGGATTATTAGACGTATATTTTATTCCTAGTACGCATCGTCATTGTTTTGTTTGAGCAGATTTTTATATGTGAAAATGTTTTTGATACTAGATAACAATAAAAACACGAGTTGTGCAAAGTGTGGAGTCTTCTTTTTAATATAGCTCGGTTTTTCTTGTGTTGGGCGCGCTATTGATTTGCAGGAACGAAAATCCATTGTACCCTTTAGCCAAGAGTGAGCATCTGTGCTATAATAGATCTCTGTCCGCGCTATAATTCACTCGGGCCCGGGGTCGATGGATAGAAGGAAGGAAGGCTACACCAATACAGGGTTAGATCTCCAGGCTTTATAGAAATGCGGCGGTGTAATCTCGCGGGGAACCTCACACGTGATGAGAATAATTCGTGTATAGCAATAAACAGAATTTGATTAAAAGCACTAGAGGGGGTATAAAGACACGAGAATGCTGAATGGAATATGATAATTTTAGCCTAAATGTTAGAGACGTGTAAATCAAACGTGTGTTCAAAATTATATGCAATACGTTTTAAAAATCATGGCTTTTTACGCACATTTTACGCACGGTTTACGCATGGGTTTTTCCCAAACGCACATAGTAAAACACACGTAATAAAGTACATAATAATAAAATAAATATCTATAAACACACACACACACAAGAAAAATACAAATAAAAATAGACAAACCAATAACTATAATATTAGAAATACTTTGAAACGAATTAGATACAGAAATGGCGAAAGGAAAGCTCAGTAAAACACAACACTTCAAAAAGAGAAAAAAACACAAGGTTAAAACAATATATAAAGTGTCTATGGCTTATAAACAGTACAATAAATATAATGATATATATTAAATATCAGGCAAGTGACTTAAATAGTAGGTAATAGCAGACAGTAAATTTGGTGATTCACAGCGGTGTTCACCCATATCTCAAATAGAATGTATTTTACGCACGGGTTATTTTGCCTTTTCCAAACACACATTGCTTGATTTCAGATAGGACCACGACTTTCTATAGGCCAATAATAAAACAGATGTGGGAACTGTTAAAATTAATGTTGTTCATTGCATCAGTGCAGCTTTTTGTTGTAATATATCTACTTCTAGGGGTCTAGTCAGTAATAGAAATAATCAGGTTCGACATTTGTACTATAAAATACAATTTTATCAATAGGGAAATCTGGCTCTTGGCCCCATCTGGGAGTATGACATCATCACATCTGAAAACCACCAACAGCCTGATTAAAAAGAACCACACTCGCACACATCACACCCAAACTGTAGCCTACTTACCGATTAACTTTACGCACATTTTACGCATTGTTTACGCACAGGTTATTTTGCTTTTTCCAAACGCACAACAAACACATAACGCCACACACACACTTGTTTTGCTTCTTGTGAGCGTGGAGAGGGCATGTGCGCGGTGGACGTCGGGGGAAATGAGCGCTGAGAGCAGTAATTGGTGGCTTCCGTGGGAGACGCAGTTCAGACCGGAGCAACACTGACAGAGACATATCTATCCCCCCACTGCTGCACCACAACAAGCGTGTATATGTGTGCATTTAGTAAGACACGGCAAACAGGGCAGTCACCGCAGTCTGACATAACGGTGTGGTCTGATGGGAAAGCAGAAAGGCTAAGCTATTAATTAAGAAAACCATAGTAAAAAGAAAGGGCGCTTTAGTTGGGTAAATGTATTAATAAAAGATACACATTTGGATGGGTTGAAAAGATAAAGACACACACAAACACATAACAGATGCAAATCCATCTTCAGCATCAGCAACACTAGACTGGGAGTTGTGAAAAAACAAGCACGCCATCTGGTGGATGTAGCTTATACGACACTATCGTGTTCTACATCTGTATAGCCATGAGGGGGGATATTCATAAATTTAATTATTTATGACGATTTTATGACCTTTTTTTTAACCATAACACACTGTCGCATTTTAAGGCAAGCATATCTATAAAACTCTTTGGGTAGTTGTGAAAAGTGTCCATCTGGCGGATGGAATATGACAGTTCTACATCTGTATAGCCATGAGGGGGGATATGGTCATGTTATTTAATTATTTATTACAATAACTTATGCATTTGCAACATTACATGGTCACATTTTTAGGGCTAGTGGTTAATAAATGTCTATTAAACGTATAATTCTGGGTGGTTGTGAAAAGTCTATTTGCCATATTTGACACCTGTCTCTTGCTATCTTTTTTGCTACTTATTTAGAAGTTATTATTACCATTTATATTTTTTACTCTTTGTGATTATATTATTATGATGTGTGAGCCACTGTGTCCAAATAATTTCCGGTGTGGATCAATAAAGTGTGTCTAAGTCTCAGTTTATTTAAGTCTAAGTGTCCATTAAAGAAAAAATTCTGTGATTTCAAAGACATTCCAGCATTCACATAAAATAAACTATATTTAAATAATAACCTGCAATATTAACCAGAAACAGCATTACTAAAAAATAAACGTATACATTCCCGGAACCTGATAGTGTAGTCCTGTGTTTTGTCACGGACACCCATCCAGGACGGACCAGCTGGAGTCTGTAGATCAAGCCCTTGTCCTTAAACTTGCCAGTCCTGTTTTTACATTAAATTCGTGTTTTTTGGGATCATTTTGTGACAGCAGCATGTCTCTGGCTGCTGAGGCGTTCGTGTCGCAGATGGCGGGTAAGATCCGATCACGTTTGGACTTTATATTTCGGTTTTCTGTCAGCATGTTCAGGGTTATCCGCACTAAAACTACTTCTGATTTAACAAAACGAATTCTAGCGTGTACTTTCTTTGCCTGATAACACTAGTATCATCTGGCATTGTCATTTTATACATTTAACCTAGAAGCGCATTAAAGGAACATATGTAACCTTATAATTTACGCATTTCTTCTTTATTCTAGAAGCTTTCGATATTAGAATCACACACGGACAGGCTCATCAGATAAATGTTCAAACTGTCTCTCGGAAGGGTGGCAAAATGTGTTTTACTCTAAAAACACAAGCTCGAGTTTGTGTTTTATTTGTTGACATAGCGCAACCAGTCCAGCCGTGTTTGAGCCAAAATGGCGACGTCGTCTTCTTCTTCTTTTTCTGTCCATTTGTGCGCCCTCTTGTGGATTTAAACCATTTCAAAATAGCGTTAAAGCTCCACTGCGTAACATTTTAGCTAAAAAAAAGAAAGAGTAAAATTACCAGTGCATTTTTCTATTTCAAATTTGTTTCTGCACTGAAAAACACAGAAAATATATGCATACTTTCTGGAAGCAAGCTTGCATCTCCATAAACCTGACTCCTGTTTGGCCTTATTGGTTATAATATTCCACAGTCTGGCATCTATTTCCATGGATTTCGCAGTATTGTCCTAATTTTCTATGGAGCCTCTGGAGTTTCTCATTCATCTTTCCCACAGACTTTACAAAAACAAAAAAAGTAATTAATGACCACCTGTAATTTAAATTTAAAATCAGTTAATAAATAATGTCACCAAATCTTTTGCTTTTTGGGCTTAAAACAACTGCATTATGGATATTAGTTACCATGGAGCTGGTTAATTAAAGTCTTAGTATTAACATTCCTCAAAAAGCCAATGGGAAAAATTAATGGAAAATGTACTTCCAGAACCTGAGCAGGAGGTCACTGTTGAGCTCCATTTCCATGGAATGAGTCCGGTGGCATTAAAACATATTTTATTTTCAGGGAATTATAGCTCATGCATTTGAGACTGTACTTAATCATTAATAATCAGTAGCCTATTGGGCCTGCAGGTTCAGTTAATGTTACAATTTATAGAGAAATACTAAAAAAACATGAGCCATTACTTTGTAATATGAAAATGAGCAAGGTATAAACCTGAGGCATACTACAAAAGGAGGAGTGTAACCCTTGAAGAGCACCTGTACTGAGATTTTACATATATATTTTTGACCCCGTGACACACTCCATCTCTCTTCTTAATCTTAAATAGAATTGTATTACAAAAACATTGCATCCTTGTGTACTGTAGAGCATATGTGAGGTTCTTGCTCTGTATTGGGCTGTGACACATAAATGCCTGAGTATAATGTCGTCTATGTTTAACTCATCATGTGCTCGTGTGTTGTTGGTATGAACAGCTGCTGAGCCATGGCCTGAGAGCGCCACACTGTACCAACCACTCAAGGGTAAGACCGCCCATCACTCATGGAAAGATAAACTTACATTGATCTATCAATAATTATTCAAAATTTTTCTTGTTTCTTCCACAGATGAGCAGATTTTACTGTCAGACTGTGCGTCATCGTTGGCAGTTCAGGTGAAGCTCATTAATATTATTCTACTGTTATTATAAAAAAAATCCAGCTGCATTTTACCTGTGCAAAATTATTTCTCTAAAGTGTCACACGCAACAATTACTCCAGATTTAGTTTACAGTTTTTTTCTTGTGTTTCTTGTTTTGCTTGAAATCGTCAGAGTTCTTCACATTTTAAACATTTTATACCAAATCTACTCATAAAAGTTCAATAATGTTTGTAACTTTTAAATGTAATTTTTCTGGTGGAGGAGCTGCCACCTGTTTGTCTCCATAGAGATGTTATTGCTTTTCCTGAAAGGTTCCACAGCTTGACATTTAACACATTATCGAGTGAGTGGAGCCCTCTTGAAAGATCTGACCTGTAACCTGGTCTCGTGTTTTCCACTGTGTCTCCACTAAGATAAAAAAAATTCCAGATAAAGCAGTAACATCTACATAAAGACAAAGGTTATTCGGAAGCTCCACCAAAAAAAATTCCATAGTGGAAATTTTTTATGATGTTGTTTTACCTGTTGACTGAGCCTTGTTTTTCCTTTACACACAGGCGTACCTCAGGATGTGTGGGCTTCCCGTGCAGGTCGTTTGTAAAGCCAATGCAGAGTTCATGTCTCCTTCTGGTTTGTATTATTACATTAAACTGTTTATTACACAAACAAATAAAATAGTGCACAGACTTTGCTGATCCCTTTGAATCCTCTTCAGGTAAGATTCCCTTCATCCATGTTGGAAACCAGGTGGTGTCTGAACTAGGACCAATAGTACAGTTTACTAAAGCAAAGGTAAGACCTGGACAGGGCCCTCCTTGCTTGCTGACACACTGGACAATATTCTCTGTATGTTAAAAGTAGGATATTTAGATAAAAAATACTCCACCCTTTTATAAATTACTAAAAAAATGACATTTGGGTTGTCAAAAAAGTTACTACTAAACTAGTACCATATCTTTAAAAATTAGGACAATTGTTTTACATTGCCTGGATTATTTTGTATAGTCAGTATTAGATTTTGTATTGAAAATTACATTCTGTCTAAAATGTTTTTACCATGGTTGTGGTAATGATATCAATTAACAAGCCTTCCCCTCGTATCCCAATATTGTATACATTTATGTCGTCAGGGAAAACTACTATTTCAACTAGGACTTTCTAATTTTAGGAATAGATTACTGTCTATCCTTTAACCCATTTTAAGTTCTAAATGTTTCTATCTCTCTTCAACTAGGGCAGCAAAAGTTGAAAAAAAAACCCCATATTGTTAGATTGACAGAGTGATATATAAATAGACAGGGACAGATTGATGGTTAGAATAATGATTGTGTGTCAAAAATTCAACACAAAATAGTTTCAGATCACTACTGTATTTATTCGGGTTGCTACAAAACGTTTATATTGTTTACAACTAATATAAAGTCATAAGAAACTGCATTTCATTTTCTTGCGGTCACAGGGCCATTCTCTGAGTGACGGGCTGGACGACGTGCAGAGGGCTGAGATGAAGGCCTACATGGAGCTGGTCAATAACATGCTACTCACAGCAGAGGTACACCACACATGCACTAGCAGTATGTACTATTGTGCCAAATACTCAAATAACAAATGTTAGTCTTAAGAAATATTGTCTTGAATGCAGCAGTATTTAAGTCCTGGATTTAAATACTGACGTCACGTTCCAAATAGGAAATGAGCATGGGCGCACTTCCGGCTCCATTGAGTCCAATTTACTTTGTATTGAAAAAAGGTTACTCCTCTCTGTAACTGCTGCTGTCAGGCTCCTTATTTTGGTCTTAATATGTTCCTATTAACCTGCTCTACCTGATCTTGGTATTTTTATTTGGCTAGTTTGTCTGTAAAGCAATTCCTATTCCTAATCTGGAACTCTGCTCCAAATTCACTCCTACAACTGCCAGCCTCTGTGAGCTTCATTTGACTGGTGCTGAACACTATGGGTGATGTCACGCTCATTTTGTCCACTACTTTATACAGTCTATGGTGAAATCCTTACAGTATTTTTTTAAGTCATGTTTATTTAATTATCTAAAGGCCTCCACACGCTACAGGAGAATTTGCCCAATTTTGGCAGCGATTGGCTTGTCCTCGAGTTCTGGGAGACGTGACCCGACTTTGTGACTTGCGATTTTGAAGCCGCTGTGCTTCTTCTGTGTGTGGTATCAGAGAGACTGTCATACTGTATATCATAACCACCAAGCATCAGCAACGCCACGGTAACAGCCAATAAAACGAAGTGTCCGGGGCAGAGGAGTGATGTACACAGAGGTGCAAAATATAAACTCAGTCAGAATATAGCAAAAATAATGAGAAGACTTTATTACTCACGTCTTGTAAAGCTGCAAGTTTAAAGCACAGCATCTCATCTACATTATCCATAGAAATTGTCCTCCGCAAGTAATGACACCCAATCCACAAAACCGCACTATTAATCCAGTTTGAGGTGTTCTTTAAAAGTAAAAAGGCGAGATAGTTCCTCACGTGTGTCCGTTTACATCCACTCAGCGCACGGATCGAGGTGAAGCTGCAGATTAGTGATAGTGACTCTACTTCCTGTGGACTTTATCGCCAATCTTTTATGTTTTAAAAATCATGTCTCTGAAGTATTGCACCACATTTCACAAATAATAATAACACAATTTTAACTTCTATCTAAACTAAAAGTGCAGCTCTCTGATCTTTTGAACACAGAGTCTCAAAGCGAGTGGTTTTACTGTAGACAGGAAACGACAAACACGATCACGCTCACAACTTTATAGCCTGTAGTGTGCCACCATATCCCGCTGCAGTATTTGCGATGGGAGATTTTAAGTCTCATAAGATTCTCCTCGTGTCTGTGGTGTGTGCTTTTTGTCGCATGTTTAAAAATAGCTTAAGACAGAAAAATCCTGTAGTGTGTGGCGGCCTTAAGTTGACACTGGTTTCTTATTTCATTTGTATGAATTACATTTAAAGCAGTTCTTATTTGCTTTACAGTTGTACATTCAGTGGTGTGATGATGCCACAGCAGCAGAGGTATGGAAACAATCATTCATTCATTTATACTATCTGATTTTATTTACTGTTTAATGTTTAATAGATATGAATTACCTTTTGTCACTTCCGCGTAGATCACCCGTCCCAGATACAGCAGCCCGTACTCGTGGCCCCTCTGTCTGGTCCTGGCCTATCAGAAGCAGTGGGAAGTCCGAAAGAAGATGAACGCCATTGGCTGGGGAGGAAAGTCCTTAGAGCAGGTTAGTAAAGTGAAACTTAGAGATTGAATCACTCGAAAATACAGTTTAAAGGTCCTATAATTTCACAAAATCAACTCTTGTGATTTTTAAACCATGTTAGAATGTAGTTATTGCATCAAAAACATATCTGGAGTTGTGTTTTGTTTCATTCACACATGCTTCAGTAATCCTTTATTATTAGTTTGTCTACATTTCACTGTTTTCTGTTTGAGAGAAGAACTCAGCGTAAATATGCAGGGTTTGTGTGTTGAACATGTGAATAAAATGAAACGCAACTCCATTTGTGTTTGTGATGAGGAACCTACATTATAACATAGTTAACAAAATGGAATCATATGGGCCCTTTTAAAATGTCTGTCTCGTGCTGTGCTCAGGTTTATGAAGATGTGAGTCAGTGCTGCCAGGCTTTGTCTCAGCGACTTGGGACACAACCATTTTTCTTCAACAAACAGTATGGATTATTTTAATATTATCTCCTTATTATATATTGTTGTATATTATATTTGTTTTTGTTGTACGGTTTTTGTAGTTTGATTAAGTTTCAGCTGTCTTCACACTCAAAAAATTCTAATAGCACCATCTTGTGGTTAAATGAAAATATAAAGTAGATTGCAACAACAGCAACAAGTATTAGTATGTTTTTGAATGGCTAAAAAAAAGAAAAAGACAATAAATTAAAAATAATGTATGATTTAAAGTTTGTTTAAAAAAATTCTTAAAATGTGTGGAAATGAACAATTATATCAGCAAAACAATTAATTAGAATTTGATTTTGTTCAGTTTCCCCCCAAAATTATTAGAAGCTTAATAGAAGTTTTATCAGATATTGACAATTTAAAAAAAAAAAAAAAAAAAAAATTATTTCATTGTAATGATTTGTAGTTTTGGTGCTCCCTCTACACTACACGTCAAAAAGTGAAATTGCTTTGAATGACCAGGTTGAATGAAGATAATGTTTTAATAATAATTACAGGAATACATCACCTGCAGTGCTGTAAATTTCTCTTCCTTTGTCTCTTGTAGACCCACAGAACTGGACGCGTTGGTGTTCGGTCACCTGTTCACCATCCTGACCACCAGACTGACCAGCACGGAGCTCGCCGAGAGGGTCAAGAGCTACAGCAACCTGCTCTCCTTCTGTAGACGCATCGAGCAGACCTACTTCGAAGACAAGTCCTCCTGAAATTCTCCAGAGTCCTCTCAAAATCCTCCACAGAGTCCTCCACAAAATCCTCCTCAAGTCCCCTACACGCCCTCCTCACATTCTCCTGAAGTCCCTAAAAAGTTCCTCTGATGTCCTCCTCAAACTTACCCTTTTGTCTCTGCTAAGTCCTCGTCAAGGTCCCTCAAAAGTCCTTCTCAAGTCTTTGTCCATTCTCAAAAAAGTCCTCCTAAAAATCCCTCCAAAGTCCTAGTCAAGTCTGAAAAAAATATCTCCTCAAGTCCAACAAAGATCCTCCTCAATTCTCTAAAAAAGTCTCGATTTCCTCCACAAAGTTCCCCTCTCGTCCCCACAAACCCTGCAGAAAGTCCCTGTAAAATCCTTGTTAAATCCTCCTCAAATTCCCACAATGTTCTGCCCCTCAAGTCTCCCTCAGGTCCTCCTTAAGGCCGCTAAAAGTCCTCCCGAAGTCCCCACTAAGTCCTCCTGAAGTCTTCAACAAAGTCCACCTCAAGTCCTCCTCAAATTCTCCCAAAGTCCCCCTGTATCCGATCTGTATTCACGTTGGTGTCATTCCCTCTCTGTACATTTTGTGTCCTCACACTTTTATGTAGAGCTTGTAAAATGTTGCACGTTGCTTTTTGTTTTTAATGTATGTAATGTACATGAAGTATTTCCATTGATAGACACACAGGAGTCTAGTACAGAGCCCTGGAGTCTTTCAGGTTTTGAATATAGTGGATGGATTATGAACACAAAAACACACTATTTTAAATGGTATTTTTGTAAATGTCAGATCATTTTTAATTTCCCATAGCCTGGCCAGCTATGATCTATTCTTTTTCTTACCTATTTTATTTTTTTAGTATCATTTTAGTGCATAAAAAGACTATTTATCAGCTTTGGATTTAGACATGTAACCAAGCTGAATGCATTTGAATGTTTAGGAAAAAAGGTGCCCAGACTATTTGTAAATGATTTCATGGTTACACAATTATGCAGTTTTCTTTCTTTCCTTCTTTCTTTCTTTCTTTCTTTTTTTAAGTAATACATAAGTGACCTACAGAAGACATATAAGGCAAATATGTAAAAATCCTGTATCCTCCCTCCTGTACTTGTGTATAGAACCATGAACATAATGAGATGTGATTATGATTTGATTTTTCTAAGTGTGTGTTTGTGTGAATGAGAAGTGCCTCCATTAAACAGTCACTGGACTACAATCAGCTATATGCTCATTTTCTTAGGACTTATTTGCTTCTGTTGTGGAAAAGTTTAGCAATAAAACACCGTATTTTTCAGACTATAAGGCACAATATCAATAATGTTGAATTCTCTCGTCTATTTTCCTACATAAGGCCCACCAGATTATAAGGGGCACTGTTGATTTTTGAGTAAATTAAAGAATTTTAAGTGCACCTTATAGTCTGAAAAATATGGTACTGCAACTTACAACCACATATCTTAATTCTAAAAGAAAAAAAATATGGTACTGCAACTTACAACCACATATCTTAATTCTAAAAGAAAAGTTATACAAGGGAGCTGATATGAAGACATAGATGGAGATGGTCATAGCTGCCAACCAAAAGACCATGGGTTCAATTCCTGGACCATAAGAATCAATCATGAGTCAGTGCTATTGCGGCCTTTATAGCTCTGTGAGGGAATTTTGGAGGTTTTGAGCTTCAAATGAGGCCTGTGTGTCCATATACTGAGAATGAGTAAAACTTGTGTGTGTCCTTAAAACACTAAGAATGCTGGCTGCATGCTGTACCGTTTTGTGGGTTGGCGCGGTCATTGGTCGAGGTCGTTGACACACTTGGCCGTCTAATCTGCCTGAGGTGAGGTCATGTGGACAAGCTCATGTCTCCTGACCTCTCCCATTCCCTCCGTTACTCCCTCTCCTTCTTTGGGTCAGTCTCATGTCAGATGGCAAGGCAAGGCAAGTTTATTTGTATAGCACAATTCATACACAAAGTAATTCAAAGTACTTTACAGAATAAGGAATACATTAAAATCATAATAAAACCAAATAAAAACATAAATAATCATGAAGATTAAAATTAAAAAAGAGACACATAAATTGGAGAGAACAGAAATGTTTTGAGCCTGGATTTAAACAGCGTCACAGAAGAGTCTGTCTCACATGTTTAGGAAGACTGTTCCAGGTTTTAGCTGCATGAACCTGAAACTCTGACTCCCCTGGTTTAGTCCTGACTCTGGGCACCAGCAGAAGGCCGGTCCCTGAGGTCCTCAGAGTGCGAGATGGTTCATATGACACTAACATGTCACAGATGTACTTTGGTGCTCGACTTGTACACAAGCAGAGCTGCTTTCAAACCTATTCTCTGAGCCACAGGAGCCAGTGCAGAGACCTGAGCACAGGACTTATGTGCTCGTACTTCCTAGTTCGAGTAAGGACCCGAGCTGCAGCGTTCTGGATGTTCTGCAGTTGTCTCACAGCTCGTTTTGAGAGACCAGTGAGCAGAACATTACAGTATCAAACCTACTGGAGACAAATGCATGGATAAGTTTCTCTAAGTCTGCTTTAGACAGTAAACCTTTGATTTTTGCTATGTTTTTTTAGATGGTAAAAGGCTGCAGATGTTATTGATCTGATGTGGCTGTTAAAGTTCAAGTCTGAGTCCATTATTACCCCTAGATTTCTTGCCTGATTTGAAGGTGTTAGAGAGAGAGACTGGAGGTGACTGCTGACACTGTCCCTTTGATTCTGTGGACCAAACACTATGACTTCAGTCTTGTCAGAGTTTAGCTGGAGAAAGTTGTTTTGCATCCACACACTGATCTGTTGGATGCAGTGACCAAGTGAGTCCACTGGTCCATAGTCTCCTGCTGCCAGAGAGACGTAGATCTGAGTGTCATCTGCATAATTGTGGTAGGACACATTATTGCTGCTTATTAACTGGCCTAATGGCAGCATGTAGAGATTGAACAATAGGGGGCCCAGGATTGACCCCTGAGGCACCCCACAGGTCAGGGCCATGTGATCTGAGACACAGTTTCCAATTTCAACAAAATACTTCCTGTGTTCTAGATAGGACTTGAACCAGTTTAGTGTAGTACCAGAGACGCCCACCCAGTCCAGATGACTATACCTCCTTTATGTGCCCTGGTCTCGCTCTCCCACTTTTTCTCACCTCACTTTATCTCTCTCCCTGTCCTTTGGGTGACTCTGTGCTCTGGTCTCTCTCCCTCTCTTTCCCTTTCCTCCTTTGGGTCAATAGACTGTATTTATAAATAGACAGCCGCCATGTTCCAAATAGAAAATGAGCATATTGGCGCATCCAGCTCCAGACTTTACATTGAAAAATTGTCACCCCTCTCTCTGTAAGTGCTGTAGTGAGCCTCATTATTTTGGTCTTAAAATGTTTGTATTAACCTGCTCAATATGATCCTGCTGTTTTTATTTTGCTGTTTTGTCCATAAATTCATTCCTATTCCTAATATGCAGTGTTGGGGAGTAACAGATTACATGTACCAGAGTTACGTAATCAGAGTACAAATTATAAGTAGCTCCTCCTTGAAACTGCCACCTTATCGTGGTGGGGGAGTTTGCGTACCCGAATGATCCTAGGAGCTATGTTGCCCGGGGCATTATGCCCCTGGTAGGGTCTCCCATGGCAAACAGGTCCTAGGTGACGGGGCAGACTAAGAGCAGTTCATAGAACCTCTATGAACAGTATAAAAACAAGGACCGTGACGTCGCCCGGTATGGCGCAGCCGGGGCCCCACCCTGGAGCCAGGCCTGGGGTTGGGGCTCGAAAGCGAGCGCCTGGTGGCCGGGCCTTTGCCCACGGGGCCCGGCCGGGCTCAGCCCGAAGGGACGACGTAGGCCCGCCCTCCTGTGGGCTCACCACCCACAGAGGCCTCAACTGGCTCCTCACGTTGAGAGGAGCAGTTGAGGTGGCTCGGGCATCTTTTCCGGATGCCTCCTGGACGCCTCCCTCGGGAGGTGTTCTGGGCATATCCCACTGGGAGGAGGACCCGGGGAAGACCCAGGACACGCTGGAGGGACTATGTTTCTCGGCTGGCCTGGGAACGCCTTGGGGTCCCCCCCCAGAAGAGCTGGAGGAAGTGTGCGTGGAAAGGGAGGTCTGGGAGTCCCTGCTTAGACTGCTGCCTCCGCGACCCGGCCCCGGATAAGCGGAAGAAAATGGAATGGAATGGAAAAAAAAAAAAAATGGAATGTATTCGGTTACAGTTACTGTTTCAGTGAGTGGTAATTGGATTACAGTTACTTTGTTGAAATAAATGGGATTACATGGAAGTATTTTCCTGTTTTCACATTTTGGGCTATATCCCTTTTTTTTTCTTTCTTTTAACCAAGTCTAAACCAGGACTAATTCAGAACTGAAACAGGACTAAAGCCAGGACTAAATTAGGACTAAAACCAGGTCTAAACCAGGACTAAAACCAGGTCTAAACTAAATCTAAACCAGGACTAAATCAGGACTAAAACCAGGTCTAAACCAGGACTGAAACCAGGTCTAAACTAAATCTAAACCAGGACTAAAAACAGGTCTAAATCAGGACTAAAACCAGGTCTAAACTAAATCTAAACCAGGACTAAACCAGGACTAAAACCAGGACTAAATCAGGACTAAAACCAGGTCTAAACCAGGACTAAAACCAGGTCTAAACTAAATCGAAACCAGGACTAAACCAGGACTAAAATCAGGACTAAATCAAGACTAAAACCAGGTCTAAACCAGGACTAAAACCAGGTATAAACTAAATCTAAAACAGGACAAAATCAGGACTAAAACCAGGTCTAAATCAGGACTAAAACCAGGTCTAAACCAGCACTAAAACCAGGTATAAACCAAATCGAAACCAGGACTAAAACCAGGTCTAAATCAGGTCTAAACCAAATCTAAATTAGATCTAAACCAGGTCTAAACGAGATCTAAACCAAGTCTAAACCAGGACTAAAACAGGTCTAAACCAGGTCTAAACCAGGTCTAAACCAGGACTAAAACAGGTCTAAACCAGGTCTAAACCAGGACTAAAACAGGTCTAAATCATGCTGCATGGACGTGTCTCCTCCTCTTCTATCAATAATATATTTAATTTAGTTAAGTAAAGTCTGGGCTTTTTATTGTCTTTTATCAGACAAAACATCTTATGTGAAGATTTCCTCATCTTTGCTTCTCTACAGCAAATCAAGTAATCCAAAGTATTCAGATTACGTTACTCACTTTAAGTAATTTAATGGATTACGTTACAAACTACATTTTGGGGTATTTAATCTGTAATCTGTAGGGGAATACATTTTAAAAGTAACACACCCAACACTGCTAATATGGACCTAGTTCCAAATTCTGTCTCCTTCTCTCTCCCTCTTCTCACACAGCAAAAAGTGGAGTGTTAAAATTGACTCTCACGGAATCAATCTGGTTCCTCTCCCTCTCTCTTCATCCCTCCCACTCTTCTTTCCATCTCCTCCTTTGGGTCACTATCATGTCATATGCCTGTAGCTCCTCCATGACCCTGTGCTGTGATCTCTCCCTCCTTCTCTCCCTCCCTCTCGTTCTCTCCATCTCCTCCTTTGGGTCATTATCATATCATATGTCTGGAGCTCTTCTCTGACCCTGTGCGCTTGAGCGATGCCCATTGCCTGTCTCATTACTCCAGATGTGTGTCCTCAGACAGGCAGACTAAACAGACCCAACAGAGCAGCGTCCGGTCAAGTCTGCGCTGGTCAGAGCTGCTGTGACCCCGAGGCCCCTGATCGGAGATAATGGGCCCCGGACGGACACAGCGCTGGTCCCAGAAGGGACAGAGACTGTGGTGTGGGGAAGGGGCAGTCCAGGATTCTCTGTCACTGGATTCAGCGAAAATATTTACTCTATAATACCACCACTTATTAGAATATCGGGAAAAAACTCTATATTTTTTATCACTCATTTCAGAAAGTCAAACTTAATTGGAGCTAGACTGTAAATTGTGATTACAGATTTTAAAGAGGACATGTAGTGCTTATGTCTTCTGTATAGTTATCATCTTTGACCCAAATGGATAATTTAGTCATAATTTGGACAATTTAATTCACAATATTCATAATACTGTACATAATACTGTACTATAATCATAAATGCCTTAATAAAAGAAACAAGTCCATTAACTTCCTTATTAGGAAATTGTGGTGCCCAGTGAGAACTGACACATTTTAAATGTCATCATGACAAAGAATTATGTAGCTGTTAGCTCCTCTAATGGATATTAGCAGAAGACTAAGAATGGAAAATAGCTACAATCCTGCATATTTACAGATACATGTTTTCTGTATTATCTTGGTTTAAAAAACATTGTCCCTTCAATGAACAAATATAAACACAGTGCATTTAGTTACATATATCATGTGATTTAAGATTTCTTTACTAAAACAGTCAAATTATTTTTTTCACCTTGTGCCATTTGGTGTTGTTCCAGGAGATGTGTTCTGATTTCAGAGCTCAAACCTCCCTTCTATACGCCAACCAACGTGCACAGCTCAGCCTCTTTTAAACTGATTAAACCACTGCAGTTATGCATATGCATGAAAACTTTCATCTAAGGGCTTTTGTTTGTATAGACACAGAGGGAGCACCCAGCTGCAGGAGCACTGAGGAATGAAGCACTTTTAATCACGCTAAAAACAGTAGCTACAGGTGCTTAGCTGTGTGTTAATGACTGATATCAGAGCACTGAAGAGGTCAGATGGAGAAGCAGTTTTGAATTTCCGCCTCAAGAGGGAGACATTCTGGAGCTTCATTATCCAAAATGAATGAAAAACTACTATATATATATATATATATATATATATATATATATATATATATATATATATATATATATATATATACATATATATGGATCAGGGAGACTGTGTTCCACTGTTTTTGGGAGTGTGGGCGTCTGACACAGTTGTTCCAGCTGCTGGGGGCAGTGTTCAGGAGTGTGGGGCAGGTGTTTAATGCTCAGGTGTTTGTGTGTGGGTTCAGGTTCTCTGTGAGGAGTAGGAGGAGGGGCCAGCTCCTGAGCTTCCTGATAGGACAGGTCAAGATGTCTGTGTACATGAGCAGGAGGAGGAGGCTGCAGACTCAGAGCTGGGTCAGTGTGAGACGTCTGTTTGTCAGGATGGTGCAGGCCACACTCAGGCTGGAGTTTGGCCTCTACTCCATGAACAATGATGAGGAAGGATTTGAGGAGCGCTGGGGCTTTGGGGGGTGTTGGCCTCTGTAAAGGAGGCAACTCTGTTTTGGACCCCTGTTTGTGTAAATATTGTAAATAGTGTAAATATTGTAAATAGTGTTAATAGTGTTAAGAGGAACCCTCTCTCTGTCTATCTATGTCTATCTTCTCCTCCTCCCCCTGCCCCTCCTGTCTCTCTCCTCCTCTCTCTCTCTCTCTCTCTTCTCTCTCCTCCTTCTCCTCTCTCTCTGTCTCTCTCTGCTCTCTTTCTCTCTCTCTTTCTCTCCTGTCTCTCTCTCTCTCTTCTATTCTCTCTTTCTCTTTCCTCCCGTCCTGTCCGGTCCTGTCGTCTCCTTTTTCCTCCCCTCCTTGAGTCGTCCCCTTACCGTGGTGGAGGGGTTTTGGAGCCTGAATGATCCCAGGAGCCGTGCTGTTGGGGGACGGCTCACACCAAGAGTGGCTCTCTCTCTCCTCCTTCTCTCTCTCTCCCTCCTCCTCTCCTGTTCTCTCCTCCTCTCCTGTTCTTTCTCTTCTCTCCTGTTCTCTCCTCCTCTCCTGTTCTCTCTCTCCTCTCCTGTTCTCTCTCTCCTCTCCTGTTCTCTCTCTCCTCTCCTCTATTCACATGTATGACGTAACAAGAAACGATAAAATCCGAGTCAGTGTTTGCAGTTTGACAGCGAGTGAGAGACGAGGGGATGAAGAGAGCGAGACAGACGTGATGAAGAAGCACAGACAGAACCCACACCAGAAAAAAAAAAACAAAAACAAAAAAATGACCCCACCCCACCACCCCTCTGCCATAAATAAAATCTGAAACTAAACTTGGTGATTTTCATTTTTCATTCATGTGAAAATGAAATGATGAAATTTGAAGTGTTTGGGTGAGAAAAGAACAGTTACATGAATCTGATATCAGCAATAAAAAAGTATCCGTACTCTACACGGACTTCCTCAGGAGGTCCTGGTTTAGTCCTGGTTTAGACCTGGTTTGGTGCTGGTTCAGTTCTGGTTTAGACCTGGTTTAGTCCTGGGTCAGTCTTGGTTCAGTCCTCAGTTCAGTCTTTGTTTAGTCCTGGTTCAGTCCTGGTTTAGTCCTGGTTCAGTCCTCGGTTCAGTCCTGTTCAGTCCTCGGTTCAGTCCTGGTATAGTCCTGGTATAGTCCTCGGTTCAGTCCTGGTTCAGTCCTCGGTTCAGTCCTGGTATAGTCCTCGGTTCAGTCCTGGTTCAGTCCTGGTATAGTCCTGGTTCAGTCCTGGTATAGTCCTCGGTTCAGTCCTGGTATAGTCCTGGTTTAGTCCTGGTTCAGTCCTGGTTTAGTCCTGGTTCAGTTCTGGTTTCTGTGTTCTGTGTTCTGGAGAACACAGCTTCACGGCAACCGGGTGGGTGCACCATCCTGGAAGTCACTGAGAAAAGTTTTTTTTTTTTGTATAGTGAAAATATTCACATCACAAATATTCAATATGTTTACGTTACATGTGAATGCAAAAAAAAAAAAAAAAAAAAAAAAAAGAGAAAAATAACAGTGTTTTTATGTTTGCAGGCTTCACTGAATGCTGCTTCTGTTTTGATTTATCTACATGAAGGCAATATGCGCTCAAATTGCTGATGATTTTCCTTGGAGACCCTGTTAATGAAATAATAAGAATCAGGTATGATAACGGTATATATAATATACATGATAACGGTGTATATATAATATACATGTCATGCCTTATAATATCAAACTCCTCACCAATTGGCTGTCTGTATTTGATGCCCCTTTTTTGTGTTAAACATGTAAATGAAGCAAAACTTGCCTTGAAGCCTATTCTGATTCTAAATGCCATTTACAGTGGTCCTTTTAGTGAATAAATTCATTTGCAGTGATCTTGTTATTGGGGAAAAAAATGCATAGTCCATTATATTGTAGGGAATATTTTACCAATGTACTACATAGCATTAATTATATAACAAAATATTAGTTGATGCAAATTTTTAAATATTAGAAATCATACCACAAATTCTACCATAGAATTCTCCACTGACCTCCAGCTCAGTGTTAAACTGTAGGGATTGTGGAATGTTGTGATGTCACGTGAACCCAACATTTTCAGTTGTCTCCATCTCTATAGTCATTCAATTTAGCCACATGAAACCAAGAACTGGCACGAAGTTTACATTTATGCATCATAAGTAAAGAGATTTCTCTCAAAGTAAATCTGTTTTACATATAGTTATGAAGTCACTTCCCACCATGTGAAATCATTACATAACATTTTTGAATATGAAATATTTTTTTTTTGCAAATTCTTAGGATGCATACAGATGCAGACTGATCATAAGCATTGAAAATTATATTTTGTGCTAATCTACTCATGTTTTTCAGGTACAGCAAGAATGCAGTGTGGTGGAGGAAACAATGGCAGTTGTCACAAGTTGTTGCTGGTTGCTATGTTTGCATATCGCTGTATTTAGTGATGTTCACATTTATGCACTGTTAATAAAAAGTAAAATAATTCAATGTGTTGTGAAATTATTAAGATTATAGGACCACTATAAAATAAAAGTTCAAATAGATTAATACAATCAATTACATGTACATTAATTTAATGTAAAATTTTAAATTGGCACATAAATGCTAATGAATGTTTTTTAATTGACTCAATTAACTTTTGCGTGTTGAGGTAACGGATGTTTTCTTGTTGAACCAATTTATAATTTATTAACTGTTATAATTTAAACTGTTTTAGTTCGACCAATTTATAAATATCATTATGATCAATTAACAATATTTAGATGTAAATGATTTCTATATAAATTATAAGTTAAACCAGTGTTTTATTTTTTTCAGTGTATGTGACGTTAACATATTAACGCCTGTTCAGCCTGTTGTTCTTTATTCTATTGTTATTTTTTCTGTACCTTGCCTTTGAAGATGAAATGTTGGTTCCTGGTCCCTGATTTTATAAAATACATTTCCCCCAAAAAGAGCGACGTATAGTCGACTGCGACTTATATATGTTTTATTCTTCATCATTACACATTTTTTGGCTGGTGCCAAAAAATGGTGTAGTTACGTTTTTACCTCCAGAAAGTTTCATGACATCAAATTATTTTAGGTGTTCAGTTTAAAATAATTGTCCACAGGTGGATGAGAGTACAGAGGTGCAGAGTGGGCAACAGGAGGAGGCGGACGCGCGGGGGGAGACTGTAACCAGTGCCCCGCTCCCGTCACAAAACACCGACAGCGCAGATGAGGGGGGCACAGAGGAGGGAGGTGCAGCAGAGGGGGACAGTGAGCAGTGTGAGGACGGAGAGGACAGGGATGAGGAAGACACACCGTCACAGTTCTCAGACATGTCTCAGGAGGCTGGGCCAGAAGAGCCCCCTCCTTACTCTATTAAAGACATTAATGAGTTGTTGGATGTTACGTATGGCAACAAATCAGTTAATGTGCAAGACTTCTTCCCCGATGTTGATGGTTTCATTAATTCAGTTAGGAAATTAAAGAGGCAGGTGGGTGTCGATCAGTTAAGCCAAAAGAAAAGGTACAGGTTGGCAAAGCTTGTAGGAAGGATCAACAAGGGCAAAAAAGGATCAGGGACATTGGTGTCTCTCTCTCTCAGCTTGTGTTCATTTACTGTTGTCTTTGTTTTCTGTTTCCTTTTTCCTACACCGTAAAATCGGTAGAGTAAATTTCCCAGATATAACATTGTTTTCCTCTAAACGAGTAACATTTCAACATTTTAGAGTGCAATTACCACTCGCGGTCACTAGAGTGAGAGTGTTTTTACAGAAATGTGGTGAATCTCCTCCATTCGAGTAATTGAGGCTCCGCCCACAGCTCCGCCCACCAAACTGCACTTGAGTTTCGATTCAGCCGCCATGACAGTCTCTCGCACAAACTCTCGGCAGGACAGTCGGAGCGCGGACAGGATTATATTTCTACTTTGTTTGCAGTCACAGGAATACAAGGTGAGTCTCAAGTACATGTTTTATGACTAATACTGTGGTTTCTAAAATTGTTTGAACCAAATAATTTTTTTCTGTCAGTGTGGTGTTAGGAAGACGGTGTTGTTTGAGCTAATGCTAAACTCGTGCTTTTAGCAAAGCGCTATCAAATGTTTCTGGCATATTTATACATTCGTTACTGTTCAAATTGATCAAAAACTATAGTTCAGTGTGTAAAAATTTGAAACCTGGGAAGACAGAAGGACAGTCATCCAACTAGCTAAACTAATTTGACTTGATGTTAACATTAACATTGATTAATTTTGACTGATCCCAGACAAAAACCTTTGCCAGATATACTGCAAGATTTGGATTCTTGATAAATATTGCTATATTCAACCTAAATATTGTTTTTGTGATATTCCAAATCACTCAATCAATTTGTTAATCTTTTAGCATAGAAGCGTACACTTATTCTTATTTTTTTGCAGTTGCTAAAAGATTTGAAATTCCAACATTGGATTTGAAAGTGTATGATGACTCAAGGACTGAGGTTGATGAGGACGTGTTTGAATTTCTCCTCAAAAAACAAGATTTGGGTGTACTTGAGATTTGTTCTCCAAATGAAGGTTTGTGGTTTAGCGTTTTTTTTGTCTACATACAGTACATCAGGTTTACCTTTTACAATAACTTGCAATAATTCATCCTATATTTTGCAGATGGATCGAGTTCCCCAATGAACAGCTCGTTTGCAAGCTACAGTGGAGATAATGTTAGTGACTCTGATGACACAATCATACTACAGCGTAGTCCTGCTTCAGTGAAGTACATTGAAGACTCTCGCCTCTCACATGTAAGCTTAGTGATCATTCACATGTGATGTCAACAATTATTTCATATTCTACTATTTAGAACTTTAATGGCACATGTTTGTGTATGTCTGCAGATGATTGAGGCCATCCTTAAAGACAAACCAGAAGGTGATCGAGTCCTAAGTGAGTATGCTCGAACAAAGAACCTGACTGATAGCAGGAGACTTGATATGGTCAACATCTTGGTTGCACACATGACAAGTGAACACGGGTAAATTGATGCTAATTAAATAATTGTAATGTCTTAAAAGGAAATCATAATATTTTCTCCTTTATAGAACAAGGCCTCCGGGCATGTGAAAGAAGATTATGCCAAAGGAATCATTAACTTGTTCCCCAAATTGGCAGATCCAAAAAGCAAGCTTGGCTATGTAGGTACAATAATTAATTCTCTACAAGGTTTATGTCTTTATGTCTCACAAAATAAATTATTTAATTAAAAGAATCATTGTTAATAGTGTTATACATGTTAAAAATGTTGTATGTTTTTAGGAACACTTTTACAGTCCTGAAGGAGGAGAGAACTGGTTTTCTGGCATGGAGACTGAAGTTTGTTCAGAAAGAAGCATCAGATGGCAAAAAAAGGAAGAGCCAGACACCTTCACCTAAAGGTATTTTTCAAGGATTCTATGTATGACTCTTAAAGCTGTTATTTGCCATTTCAATTGTTATAAATATGTTTACAGGTGGTTGTATATATACAAATGACTTAATGAACTGTCACTGTTTTCAGGATGGGATGGTGATATATCATCCATTTTGGTTCTTCTCCACCTTTTGCCTCCACCTCCTCATGGATGCAAGAGGCCAGGGAAGCTATCAGCAAGACAGGCATATGACCAGCTGGTGAAGTTCCTCAAGGTGAGTTCTCAAGAGTCATAAACTACCTGTCTGATTGCTGTATTATTAAAATTATTTTATTTGAAGCAAATTGTGTAATTAAAAGTAATTTATTGTGTCTATATTCAGCCCACTTGTAGACGATGGAGGGAAATACTAGCCATATTACATACTACTATGGATTAGAAGGGTGTTGGGGAAAAGGCTGAGTAATGATTTTATTTTATTTTATTAGACGGGGACCAGCATCCAAGATCATCTGGACAGCGTCAGAGAAAGTCGTCAACCCTACCTGCTGGCCTGTGGCAACACAAAGCACATGATCCACAAGTACTACATTGTGACTGACAAACATGTGATTCCATGTAAGTCATCGGACTCTCTTGCTGCTTTTGACGAACTTTTTAAAGCTCATTTTGGATTTGGCACCTCCTACAATCAAGATCTGATAAATGTATACAACTTCTTGCAGACTACCATTTATGACATAGACGTTGGTAGCAGTAAAGTGAGTCCCAGGGTTGCAGAGTTAAGGGCACGTTTTCTTTGATTTAATGCACTGATGCATTGATATTTTTCTTTGTAAAATGCTAAAGCCAGAGAATAAGTGTCAGTTATCTTAAAAAATACTTTGTTCAGGAAAAACACTTATATATGATTGGTAAAAGGTTTATGTGATTGATTTAAATATGATTGGTAAAAGGATCATGAACAATTTTCCAGGTTTAGAAAGCAGCTGAATGCAACGTGAAGGCACATGAAAATTGTTCCAATGTTCTGTTGAATGCTCCTCTGCAGAAAGTTGTATGTATGACAGATGGGCTAACTGTAGAGAATGCAAACTCTTTTAAAGCAACTGATACTGTTATGTTGAATAAGACTTGTTTATTGTCTCATACTGTTTCTATAACTGACACATGATTATACACTATAGAATGCAGTATTTATTAAACTGTGTACAATTGAATAAAAGTTTTAATTGTTAAATCCACTGCTTTTGTTTTTCTTTAAGGACTGGATTGATGATTGTAATCTTGAGTAAAATTATAATAAAGCTAAAGTAAAATAGTAATCTTGCTAGAGTAAAATTTATAATATTGCTAGAGTATAATATCACTATTAATTGGAGTAAAATGATGGTAGAGTAAATTCAGTATTCATAATCTTGGAGTAAATTCTACTCTATTTGTTGGAGAATGCAGGTACAGTAACTTTATTTCTCTTCAAATAAGAGTATAATCATTTAAAGTAAAATAAATGCTCAAAATTGAGTAAAATTTACTCTCAATTATTTACTCTTTTGCAAGAGTAAATTTTACTCTTTCTAGATAGGGACCAAATATATTTTTTTCTAGAGTAAGATTTTCCTCAATTAGAGTCAAATGTACTCTGGGAAATTGACTGTGTATGGAGAGCCTCAGAATAGGAACTTTGAACATTAATGGAGGCAGGAATCAAGAGAAGCAGAGGGACAATGAGACAAACTGGAGCAGGGTTTGGTCAGGGCCCATGTTCATGAGCCATGGGTCTAATCTAAGTGCAGGAGTAGCAGTGCTCTTATCTGAACGGCTGAGGCTGAGTAATGCCCCTCACCTAGTAGTGGAGGGGGGCAGGCTGCAGGTGGTACAGGGGACAAAGGGGGGCACACTTTGTGTTCATAAACATCTATGCACACAACTCACCTGTAAGCCGGACACAGCTAGTGCACACTCTGAACAGGCAGCTCAAAGGTTTTAACAGTGAGTCTGTGATATTAGTGGGCGGGGACTGGAATTGTACAACACACCCTCATGATAGGAACACGGCAGAGCCCCATCCAAGCTCTGCCGCTCTGCTGGCCAGTGTGCTGAGGGAGAATGACCTCATGGACACATGGAGACATGCCCCTACTGGCGATTTAATGTAAGTTTACTGCAGGATAGTGGCTTCATCCAGGCTTTCAGGGAGCTCTGGGAGCAGTGGAGGCATAGGAAGACAGACTTTGAAAACATACTAAAGTGGTGGGAGGTGGGGAAGACTCAAATAAAACTTTTTGTCCATCAGTATACACAACACTCAGAGAGGGAAGGGCTGGAGCATTTGGAGAGGGAAGTGTCTCTCCTGGAGCAGGGGCTGATCAGGGGTGCAGGGAGTAGAGGCACGTGGGCAAGCAGGAGGGGCGCTTTGAGCACTTTTATGAGCGAGAGAGCAAAGGGGGCACTAGTTAAGGCTAAAGTTGTTGCACTGCGTGATATTGATGCCCCTACACGCCACTTTTTTAATTTAGAAAAGAAAGGCAGAGCAGGGAGCAATCTTATGCACCTTAAATCGGCTAATGGGGAGGTCACCTCTGACCCATCACTAATGCAGCAGGAGGCCATAACCTTCTACTCCGAATTGTTTGCGGCTGGTTAGTGTGACGGGGAGAGCCAGGGGCAGATGGTGGACGGGTTGCCTGAGCTGGAAGAGGCTGAGGCAGCAGCTCTGGCCTCGCCAGTCACTCAAGAGGAGGTGACCTCTGCAGTGCAGCAGCTCGGTTGTGGCCGAGCCCCGGGGATTGATGGGCTGCATCCCGAGTTTTATAAGAGTTTCTGGTCTGTGCTGGGGGAGGATGTGCACAGTGTTTTTACATCAGCTCTGGATCTGGGCAGAGTCGGCGTCAGAGCACGTCTACTGGAGGGGCATGGGTCACCAGCAGGGGGGGCACTGCCATTTGAGAAATATTTTAACGGTGGAGTCATACACAGCAAAAATGCTATCAAACTCGTTTTTTCTTTAATAGGATTAGGCTAATTATGTTTTTCTTTAATAGAATTAGACTAATTATGTGTTGATATTATTATTATTATTATTATTATTATTATTATTAGCTACAATAGTTGTTGAGGCTGTGTGGTAGACGAACAAGCACGCAATCGGGCAAGAAGTAGCCACGCTGTAGTGGGCGTGGTACGCGGGGGTACGCTGTCTACCAACTTCTACCGACGTGAGATATAAAAAATAACAAATATAAAATAGCTACAACTTAAATGTCAAACCGGAGTTATTGGCAATGGTGAAAACAACCTGCATAGGCTCATGATATCTGCACTACTGCCCTATAGTGATCTGAGACATGAGGGACCAGGACTGGACCAGGACCAAACCAGGATTAAACCAGGACTAAAGCAGGATTAAAACAGGACTAAACCAGATCTAAATCAGAACTAAACCAGGACTGACTGTCGGGCCCAGAGGTGCGCCCGCGTAGACCTTTGGGTGACCGCAGCAGAAAGAACCAGCGCAGAGCTCCGCGCCTCACGGAGCAAAGCGGAGCAGGGTGCCAGCTGGGGTTCTGTCTGTCTCGCTCTCTGAAGTCCAAGATTAGTACTGTGTTAGTCCTGATTTAGATCTGGTGTAGGAATGGTGTAATCCTGGTGTAGTCCTGGTTTAGACCCGGTTTAGACCTGGTTTAGTCCTGATTTAGTCCTCCTGGTTTAGTCCTCCTGGTTTAGTCCTCCTGGTTCAGATAAAAATCGTGTACGCCCACTTAAAAAATCCCAACTACACACTGGGCAGCACTGGCACATGGCCATTCAGACAGTCACATAGCCTACTACAAAACATAAATGCAAGACCCAGCAAACGTCAATCAACAATTTATCTCCTTAGTAGGTCTTATATTGAAAACCAGGGCTGGCAAGAAGTAAAATAAACAAAGGGCTTACCGTCAGAAGAGTTGCAGGCGACGAGAAGGCATAGTGCTGAAACGTCTGAGTACTTTGTCCTTCCATTCGTTTGCGCATTTGCGTGTCAAGTCTTTCTCGAATGCAAGCTGCACCAACCTGGCCTTTCTCTCGTGTAGCATTGTGCGTCTGTGTTCCGAAAACACACTTCTCATAGTGGAGAATGAATTCTCGCACATTGCTGTTGATGCGCCAAACGTTAATGCATGTTTGAAAGCAGTCAGCACACTGGGCATGGCACTCAGTTGGATGTGGAACGTTGAGATGATGTGCTGTATGGTCCAGTTTCCCCCTGTTGCTTGCTTCTGTGACATTAAAAACTCTTTAGCAACTTCGAACTCAGCGTCGGTTACAGTCGATTGTGACAGGTCGAGAATATGCCTCACAGCTTTCACATCAAGGAAGTTGTCGGCCTCTGGATTAAGTGCGGCAAGTGCGCTTGCCAGTTGAGAGTTGCGCTCGCTGAATCTACGCTCCATTTCCCCGCCCACCAAATCAATAGTGTTGTAGTAAAGTCTCCTAAATTCAGTTTTCAAGTCATCATTACTTGTGGCTCGGTGTACTCCTGTAGGCTCCATAACGATGAAACCATCCATCCGTGTGCTCTCTGTGAGTCCCCGTTTGAGCCTCGGTGTCTCCTTGGTGCCCGTAACAGTATCCAACATCTTCCTAAATTCTTCATCACAACGGAGTTTTTTAATACATACTGTTGCACTCGCCACAACACTTAAACCTGTCAGGAGATCAGTGTCTTCTCTCTGGAGAAGCTTGTTTGGTGGGTCCAAAAGAGCCAGGACTTTGTGGGTGAAGTTGGCAAGGAACATGAAGCTTGGCTCTGATACTTCGTGCAGCAGTCCTGCAGCTTCCATTCTCGTCTCTGCGCCATAGTCCAGCACAGTGTCAGCATCGGTCAGAACTGATTTTATGTCATCAAATGACTTAAGAATAACTGAAACAGTGGCAAGATGCCCTGTCCATCTCTGCTCTAAAAGACGTTTCAGGTGTGCCCCTTTATAATGCAAAGCAACTGTTGGCTTCCTACAGAATTTGTAGAGGGAATTGCACACCTCAAAAAAATCCGAAACCGCGGGCTCTGCAGACATGACATGAACTACAACCAAATGCAACTGGTGGTTGAGGCAGTGCACATACGGTATCTCACGTCCAACTCTTTCCTGAAGAATTTGCTGAACACCACCACGTCTCCCTGACATAACGGAGGCTCCATCATATACCTGGCTCAGAATTTTGGAGCAATCCAGGCCAACCTTGTTAAGCTCGGACAGAACGGTGTCAGTTAATGTCTGTGCGTCACCTTTTTGGGCCGTAGCGATGCACAGTAAACGCTCTGTAATTCCGTAATACTCGTTCACAAATCGTAACACAATCGAAATGTTTTCGCGTCCTGTGGGGTCACGTGTTCCGTCAACTTTCAAAGTGTAATAGGATTCACCAACTTCCTCCACTATAGCCTCTGTCACCACATCACTCAGTGTTCTTATAAGTTCATTTTGCATGTCATGACAGGTGTAAGTGGCATTGCGAGGGATAGTCTTGGTCACATTAGCTAATTCAGGATCCTTTTTGATGATGTAATCAAGCATGGAAAGGAAAAGTCCAGACCCCCCCTCCGACATATCAAAAGCGTCAAGCTTTCCCCGTAGTGGCAATTGGTTTTCAGCCAAGAACACAATCACGTCTATTAGTGAGCCCACATAATAGCGGTTTCTGTTAAGTTGATCTGTATTTACAAGGGTTGATACCTCACTCCCAGTATTGCGACGCATCTCCCTCTCCTTCCACATTGCATAGCAAGATATGTGGTCTTTTGAAGTTTCATGTTGATGAAATCCACGGTCTTTAGCAATATCCTGTTTCCAGTTACTATAGCCCACACTCGCAAAGGCATCCAATGATCCAGATTTTCTTGTGCTCCTGAACAACCGACAGCAAAAACAAAATGCTGCGTCTGCCTTCACACTGTACTCCAACCACTCTCTGTTGTGAAACCATTTACCAATAAATGATCGCCCCTTGCCATTGTAAACTGTTACAGGATAGTGATTTAATACAGTTTGGACAGGCCTGTCAGTCCCGAGATCATCGACCACCACTGTTCGCTGCTGGCTTGAGGGGCTTGAAGGTCGCTGTCCGGTGCTGTGCTGCTATCTCCGTAGGTGGTTGTCGGGAGCTAGCAT